CTCACTGTAGATGAAACCCATCAAGGTCTACACATCTGTCCAGTGCTTCCTAGCTTTTAGGTTCACACTTCATTTGCTCTATACACGATGAATTCCTCAATAAAATATTCTTGCATGGTTGTGCAATAATCGAATGAATCGAGCCAGAATAGAGGGCGCATTTACTAAATCTACTTTCAACACTGCTGGAACACTTCCAGACGATATGTCATTCCTTTCGCTATTTTCCACTGATATAAGAGATATTCTAGTAGTCCCTATCTATGGTATCGAAATAAGCTGAGATCTGTGGTTTGGTGTCATGCCATTTGTGACAGTTTGCTTTAGGAAAACTACATGGAAAAGGTTTTGAAATAGAATTTTTCTCAGCCTGATACGACCTTTACCTAAATTCCGTCGTACATCTGCAATATATTCTCAGTCTTTCTCCTAATCCGTTTTCAACTGATTCTGTCGCATTAAATTCCTTTCGGGAGTTAATTGTGTTGAATATCTGGGAGGAGAGAGTCGATATCAATACCAATCTAACTAAAACGGGCACTTCACGTTCTGTACTGTGTAGAAACCTGCAGAGTCTAGCCTTTCAAACACGCAAACTCCGGCAGTTCTGAACTTGATGCACAGTCACTTCCAAGTTTGGTTTTTATTACTATTCCTGTGGTCCTGTACTGTACTGTACTGTACCGGAATTGTGACCGAGTGCCATGTCGTAACGTCATCAAATTATCACCCTGGGGGGACGTATGTTCGAATCCCATCATCACCACCAGCTGACTTCTTCCATTGTGTGTTGTATGACTGCCCCGTTGATTGACAGCCTCCCTCCACCCGAAACTTGTAGCATTGTATATTCAATAGGAGGAATGAAAAATGGAAAAAATACAGGTACTGAATGCTTTATGCTCTAGGGCTCGGTCAGTATGGACAGTGTTCCATCCTTATACAGTGAAATTCTGCCTACTAAAAACTCGTTCAGCAACAGATTCTTGTTTTGCTTTGGTCGACAGGATATTACAAGACTCCACACATCCAGTTTATGGTGACCTACCGTACTATCGCTCGCTTCCATCCACCCAACCAGTATATCAGCATCTGTAGGCTAAAATATATCTGCACAAGAACATCCCCGCACAACAGCTGGCTCGATTTCTGTTAAGTGCAAAAAACACTACTCACAGAATGGAAATATTCACCAAAATTTAACATTCACTTTGGATTGGATCCCTTCCTATGCACCAAAATTTGAAATCCAGTGACGCAACCAGTGGGCTCGCTGGTAACGCTGACAGCAGCTCATCGTTGGTCTCTTTTGGACGATATTGAATTCAACATGCTAAAGTGTAAGGTTCTATCTGTACGACACAATAAACAAGTGCCACACACCTTAACTGAGAAGGACCTGGGCATTATCATTCAAAAAAACTTAAGCTGCTCACTCAACTGTACTAGGGTGTCGAACGCAGTTGTAAGGAATGTCGGTTTGCTTGAGCGGGTCTTTGGCCGGTTTGAGTCAGCGCTTTTCCCCCATCTACTATCAGCATACATTCACTCGCAGACAGAGTACACCATCCGGGAATGGAATCTGTGGCTACAACGTGATTTCAAAATGCTGGAGAGCCCACAAAAGATAGACACCAAAATGGTTAAGGGGTCGAATCGTTATTCATACGCAGATAGATTGAAGTCACTGGGGTTATATTACAATCAGAGTGTGTTCCATCTGGAACTCTCTCACATCCCACGCCGGTTGTGCACCAAGCATTGAATCTTTTAAACTGAAGCTCGATGAAGCATTACATTGTGACATAAGTGAAGCTGTCTTCAACAGTGTAAGAATCCCGTATCACGTGACATTTTACACAAGGAATAGTATGTATCACTGTCTTTCAACCCCAACAGAAACCTATGGGACGAGAAACACATTGGTTAGTAAGATATTCCCATAATAAATCCTTGATCTTTGATCTTTGACCCGTTAGATTTTTCTATAGTAACGGATTTTTTTTACGGTATCAGTCGGAAGTGTAAGCCAAGTGTTCTATAAATATGCAAACTTGTCACGTGCAAAAAGCCGTAACGGATTGGCTTGTATATTACCTAGGTTGAGACCCCATTGGGAAAGTTCGAGGTGTCATCACAGGGGGCTATACGCAAATGGATGCCTGTTTGAAAAAAATGAAAGAATCGAAGGAGGTTTTGCTGCACAGTTGCAGAATGACAGCCCACAAAAATCCACAAGAATTTTTTTGTTACAATTCGTCTTATTGGACTAAACAATTTTCTTCGTAGCACGATCCTCAATGACTAGTAGTTAGTTCGCATCTTCTGCGTAGTTTGTGAGTCATATTTTAGTGAAATGTAACTGAAAATAAAAGCGTGTCGATAGTCTTATCCATTTACCGATCAAGAAACATTGCCACGCGAGATATGCAAGTAACTGTTCGATTATCTTGCAATTTGATCACCCCAGACGAAATTGTTTCGTATCCGCTAGGCCATTCATCATGTGATCCGGTCGGAAAGGCGAACTTATATTTGCGAGGCTTTGAACGATTGATAAACCCAAACAGTATAACACATGAATCGATCCTTTAAAAAACCCATTACTGTTCAGAAACGTGACAGGGTGATTGATCGACTGCATCCTGTTACGTGTCATTATGAACCCGTCCGTGGTTTACAGAACTGCTGCAAAGTAAATTGATTCCAAATTGACAAAAACTGTAATGCATCCAACCGAAAAATGACTGGTTTTGTCGTCCGTCAAGTGCGGCCAATGAGGTCATAATTAAGTTAATCCATTAATCTGTTCATTTCACTTTCCAGATGTAACCACCAGGTTAGGAAAGATTATGTAAATTCCAATCATTTTAATCGGAAACACCTTGCACAGTTAGAATAAGTCTCAGGACAAATAGTCCACCAATTAGTCAAATAGGGAGTCTCGTCTCAAGGATTTATAGTTTACTCCGAAATTCGGTGCGTCTCACAAATTTTCCCGCCACACATAGACTTTCACCCAGAATTATAATTTGGTGGTGTCTCTATTTGAATAGTAGAAAACAAAACGAGCTGAAAGTGATCTACTACTCGGTCTAACCGTTGCCACGTGAATTGAAACATCACTGCGACGGGGAAGACATTAAACGCATCCGGAAATGAGGATAATGTTTCTTTTTCCTCTTTAGATCAGGGAAAACTCGTGTGGAGAAATATAGGCTGTGACAAATTCAACTGGAGGGAACAGAAAGCTTTTCAAATCTGAAAGTCTGAAGAGAGAGGCTCTCAGTCGAACCCCTAATACAGTTGGTTTCCATGTATTTGAGCCAAGTAAATTAAAGTGGGAAAGTAACTACGACGAGTTTTGTGCAGTCAGATTGGCCTGGTTATAGAGGGTGTGCCACTGTTTACCTGTTAAGGATAACAGAAGGGTGACACAAAACTAGGTATCTGTTATGTTAGCATAAACTTACTTGGAATTTGATTTTTGCAGTCTTGTTTTAGCATCAAGATCGAAAGAAGCCATACGTTGCGAAATGTTAACATTTCGTTCAATCTTTTCAATTGCTGACGTGAAACAAACACATATATATTTATATAGCATATTCGGTTGTGAAATCCCAGTGAACGGACGTGTACAGATAGACAGGGGATATGAAAATTAAAACAACTGGTTAGTGCGATTCCAGCACACGTTCTTCGGGGTAACCAAAGTCAAATTTCTATTACGGGACTCACTTACAATTTCACGCTTCTCTTGTCTCTGTGGGATATTTACACCATTGAGTGGTTTCTCAAAAAAAAGAATGATAAAATGTCATAAATAGTTCCGGGTAATGTAATCATCGACTATTTTGCATTTTCAGCAGTACAGGAATTTGAAAGGTTCAACATTTGGCTCTCAAATGACGCGAGGTGAAAGAGCGTTCCAAGTGGTGCACACTCTAATTGCAAAAGATTAACACCGGCATTCCAGTGGACAGTTTAGAATCCGTGAACTGAAGCGATGTCCCCTAAGCTGTACGCTGGGCGACAAGGTGACCGGCGGACGACATGGATGATCTGGGTACTGCACTAATTGATACGTCAAAATCAAGTCCCCTCGAATTCGGCAAAACACAGTCCCAGCGATCGTAATCTCTCCCCCATAGGTGAGGCAGTGCCATCCCTTGACAATCATAATGGCAATTCTTTTTGTACAATCCGTCAAGCTGGTTGTGTGGTGGTGTGAATCTTGAAATACAGGGACTTAAGTGTCTTACAACGTTGCCAGAAAACGGCTTCTATGGGATGAAATAAAATTTTCAATTGATGTGCATTTCCTGCCCCGTTATCTTGAACCAATACTAAAAAGATATGCATCTAAGCGACGGCTGACAGTCGAAAAAAAACGAAACACACCTGCCAAGTATGGTAGAATAACCGTAACTCTACCCGGCTCCAGCTGGCTGAACGAAATACCGTCTGAGGTCGATCGATAAGGATCTTACTACTGACTTACCTGTTATCCATTTTGGAAATAAAATTCACGTTCAAAAATCAAAGATCAATGTTGCTGATGCTTAGCTGTTTCTCAAATCTACCTTCTGATTTTTCAATATCTGCATGGAAGATCACAAACGAAACTTTGCTGAGGTTTACAGTAAAAATGCTTTCCAGCCAGATAATGAAACCTTTGGGACAGTAAGGAAAAAAATGGAAAATAATATGAACAAAATAATTAAAACTGCAAACAATCATTCATCAGTTTGCATTACAATGACTTATAATAATTTGGTCGGCTAAAGTGCCAATCGTTGAAATCCAATTTAACAGACACTATTCACACTGCGCTCTCTATTCGTCATGCGCCATCATTTCTCTTGTGTACCTCACTACTCAGTGGATCCGAAAAGGATTTAGTTTCAGGCTACCTCGTGCATGTCGGCGTCTCGATATATATAATATAACAGGCAAGGATATCTGGATCACTCAAAAGCAATAGTTTTCAGAATTCCGAATTAATCATCATCATCATCCGAATCATCATCATCATCATCCGAATCATCATCGTCATCATCATCATCATCATCATCATTATCATCATCATCATCATCGTCATCATCATCATCATCATTAGTAATAATATCAACTTCTCTTTTCGGTGTATAACACATCCATAAAATAGAAATCCTGTGTAGAACTGAAAGCCTTTTACAACTGGCACTGAAGACATGTTTACGCCCGAGAGGAACACAGGCACCACAAACGTACAGCTTACCGAAGCGGCATAAATAAAGTGTTCCATTACGACCCATTCTAAGCATGATCAGTTCATCCCAACATGCATTAGCAAAGTGCTTCTGGTACCGGTGAGAGATTCACTTGCTCAGTGTAAGGTCAAGGAAAGCTTTGAGATGAGGAAACATTTAACCCACGGAAAGATTCAACAAAGTCAGATGTTTAAAATGAATGTCANCAAAAGTTCCACTGCATGGAACCATCGAGATTATTCCTCAGACAATTACAGAACCGGTTATCTATCAATGGTATGTGATGATCACTGCTCATATGCACGTCAAACGTCAGATTTTTCGTTCCTTGGACAATGATAACGGCATATAAATGGGGTTACCAGGGTCAGTCCTTTGGGATATTTGTCTTGGCCGCCTAGCAGAAAGATTTGAAGAGGTTTTCCAAAATCGGTAACATTTTTGTTGTGACCAACATCAAGGAAGAAGGAGAAAACCCATTCCATCCATTCATTCCAACTTCCAGCAAACTCGTCATGACGAACGAAACGACTGTACCGAGCTTTTAGATAATCACAGTACTCATACACCGAATGGATTGAGTGAAAGATC